CTGATACTGTTGTATAATTATTACTAATGCTATTAACAATGTAAGCTGTAGGGTTGACCAGGCACAAATGTTTTTACCCAGAATAAGTTGATGTAATAATAATAATAATAATAATAATAATAATAATCCAAAAACAGCCCAGGCCTCTGAATACTTATCTAACATTTTTAAAAGCTTCCCAGTTTATCTAGAAAAATACAGGAAATCATGACCTTAACTTATATCCAATGCTGTTATTTATCCTTTCATGCAATTCTTTCCTGAATTATTTCTCAAGTCAACTAGGTTGTTCTTTTCTTACAAAGCTCTGTAATCAAATGTTGAAAAAAGGGACACACAGGACAATATAATCTATTAAATTTTCTGTGTTTAATTTCTGTTCCATTCACTTCTGTGTGTTTCAGAACAAGTACTATTTTAAAATATTCTGAGTTTATAAAAATTTAACTGGTGAACAAAGTAGATAGACAGTTAGCCATGAAATAACACACTATATTTCCAAGGATCTCTGGTAATAATACGCTGGGGTGCACTGGCAGTGTAGAGTTAAGGCAGCTTGTTATGGTTCCAAAGTTTTAAGTTTGAATCCCACTTTGGACTTGCGCCAAAAGCTTGGCTACTACAGAGCTCCCAAGCCTGCTCTTCCCCCTACAAGTCAACCTGGCTGTACATAGGTTCTTCAGTCATTCAGGCTGAGGTGTCAAAAACGGCCAGAATTTGACAAGCCCTAACTGTGCCTGCCCTATGGTCCCCTAGGTAACATCATAAATCAGAAGATCAAAGTTTGTATTAATTCTGCTGGCTGCAAGAATATAAAAATGACTCTACAGCTTTGTTCCTTTTGCCATTTTTTATTCCAGAATTTACAATTATGATCTTTCCTCTAAACCCCTTATCTTCTATCATTCTTTGACATAAAGAAAAAATAACAAGAGTAATGTTATTCTCCCAGGCACTCTCCCATAGTAGAAACTATGAACATGTAAGTGTTCATTCCATTTCCCAGGGAAAAATATGCTCAGAGTAATGTCTTCCAGGTCAACCCGGAAGACTTCCCCTGCAAGAGAAACTCTTTCAGGAATGAAAGCGTGTACACTTCACCCTCCTCCAAGTCTGATCCCGGAGGGTGTGGACAGCAGAACAATGTTCCCTGTGCTTCCCCAGACTGCCAGCTGTGCAGCACAAACAGTGATTTAAAAGCTGAGGAGCCAGGAGCCAGGTCAGAGAGGCTCCCCTCAGTCCTGCTTCCCTGCATATCTCAGGCTTTAAAAATCACTCCTGTTGTGCAGCCCATCTCGGCTGCACACATGTGGATTTAAAAGCTGGAGAACTGCCTTTTGACAGCCTTTCCCTTCCCAGACAAAAGAAAAGGACAGGCAGTCTAATAATGGGCTCCCCTAAGGGCAGCAGTGGCCCAGGGAGCACCCATCTAGTGCCCCCTGGCTGGAAAGCTTGCCTGTGGAGCTCTCCAGCCAGGGGAGGTGGAACACATGTATGCTCCTTCTTCTAAGCTATTTTTCTATATAGTAGAAATGAGCAACTGTCCAAGGACCTGGAGAGTGATGGATTTCAGAAACATTTAGAAACCAGTTTTTAATAATTAAAAAAAAACAGAGTATATAATGTTTCAGAGATAATGTTAATATAAAATTAAACATAGCATTTTCAGAATTAGTCCCATTTTAAATCAAGGATTGGAGAGTTTTTTAAACAAAAAATGGACTTGGATAACTGCAACTTTTACCTCTACTTTTGAATATTAGACTGCATGCATACAGGGTAATGAATTATTACAAACCCAAAGATGCAACATCTAATCTGAGACTTATTAGATATGTCCTTAGCTGGCCTTTTTAAAAAAAAAAGAGGTAAACTTTTGCTTTATTGTGTTTTGATAATTGAGTTGCTTTACAGTATGCTGTTTGAATTGTTTTTCTTCATTTTATTAAATATAAATAATATGTTTCCTTTATCACAAATTGTTTGGTCTGAGAAACTGATTATGCCATCTCCTTTTTGTCATTCTTTGAGCAAAATGGTAAATACTTGTACTTCATTCATTCTTTTTGGATAAATAATAATCCTGAAATTAACAAACAGGCAAAAGCAGCCTCTAGATTCAGGATCTAGTCAAGAAGCTTCTCCTTTAGCACTGCCTTCAAGCAGAATAAACTTAAAACCTATTAGTTGCCCAACAGCACCATCTGGTGGATAAACAATAATTTGGGCAATAAAACTGTCTCAAACTAAAACTTGTTCTTATAAACAATACCCCACTTTTCTAGTCACAACCCCCTCCCCCAAAGTAATGACTTGGTAAGAGGGCCATACTGCTCCCTTTCTACCATATTCTTTTGAGCCTGGCTGTGGACTGCATGCCACACCATTCCTGATGTCACCATTCTGGACTGAAGAACTGCTGCTATCACTACTTCCTAGGGAGGGAAGGAGAGGGAGCTGGGACCCAGCCTAGACACCATCTTGGCCACCTGAAAGGTAGGAGGACCCAAGTAGCCTGTATGTCCTGCAAAGCTGGCAAGTCTCCCTGGGTAGGCATTACCCTGGGATAATGCCAAGGGGTACCCTACCCTGTGGCACTGGCCTTCAGAGATGACAGAGCCAGGGACACAAGTCTTCTTTTGAATTTAGTGTTGTGTTTACTGGGGGCAGGGGCAGGGGAGGAGTTAGGGTGGATCCGAGTTGGTTTTATTTTTTGAAAGGGAAGCAGGTGGAGGGGGCAACAGCCACAGGGGATAGGAGAGGACATGTGGACTTGCAGGGGATACTGGGAGTTGAGGAATTTCCTTTGGGTGCGAAGTGGGGCAGTTAAAGGAGAAGAGGTGTTGGGGGTGTGAAGAGGTTGCAGTTCTTGGGGTTTGGGGTACTCTATGTGGGGAATCCTGGCTATGGTTTGTTTGTTTATTGTAAAGACTCTGAGCTTTTGTGATACATACATCTAAATAATAATCATTCTTCTCTCTCTCTCTTTTGCCTGCTTTTTTTCTATGTCTATTTCTTCCATCCCCACCAGCAATCCTTATTAGTCCTCTGTTCAGTGTTAAGTCATATTTTTTTCTTGTCCCTTGGTCTTCTGGCTTCTTCCCTTGTTTATTTACTGTAGCATACTCCCAACACAGATCCTTGGGACAGCAAACCTCTACCCATGCCCCTCAACTGAGAAAGAGGTAGTGGTTCCAGAAACATTCCACCCTTAGTTTCCCACATAAGAATAGTCTTAACAAAATCAAAACTTATTATAAACACGATGAAGTGGAATTAAAATAAAACAAAAAATGGATTATGAAATCTCTAGATTATACTTCAAGATAGAAGGGGAAAAAAGCATTTTCAGCCTAGTCACAGAAAAAATAAAAATAACTAGTTTCTACTTCTTGAAAATGCAATGTTCTCAGTCCCCTTTCTGTTCAGATTCTTTGAGCCATTTGCTGTTGAGACACCAACTACCCCTTTCCATGTTTTGAAAGCTCAGTGATCTCTCCCCCAATGCAATGCCCCCCTACATTTGCTCTGTAAATCATTTTTCTACAGATATTCAAAACTTTCTGCATGTTTAGATTACTACTTTGCCTTGGAGATGGACCACAAGGATCCTTTAATAATGGTTAATAACTGTCATTCAATAACTTAACCTAGCTTGGAAACTGACTTCACATGCCATCTTTGTCAACTGAACCCAATTGTGTTCAGAACTCTTGTTAAAAAATCACTCTAAGAAAATTGTCTTCTGCCAAGAAATATGAATTATGGGCAGGGCCTCAAACTATCTGCCACTGCTAAAGATTACATCTTTCAGTAATTGGAGAGAACACAGGCAATATGGCTAGAAGTGCTGAGTGGAATGATTTAGAATAGGGGTTCTGAAAGTTTTTAAGCCATGGCCTGGCAAACCACAACCCAGCAGTCACAGCCAACCACGGCCGGAATTTCTGGGTGGCAGACAGGTAAGGATATCCCTGCCCCCAGGGGGCAGGGGGGGAGGAAGGGGGGCAAAACCTGTGGGTCCTACAGAAGGAGTCGCAGCCTCTCTGCCTGACTCTGGGGGGCCACGGTTTAGCGGTCTATGTCCACTTCCAGTCCGGCAGCCGACCACGCTGTGGACCGGCAGCTGACCCGCTGCGGCCTGGCTCCGGGCCGCAGCCCAGGGATTGAGTACCCCTGATTTAGGAGAAGTGAAGAGAATACAAAGTAGCCCAGAAAGTCCCCATGGCACATAAGACCAACCAGAGGGTCCACTTCCCTTGTAGACCAGACCTGTTTGGCAAAAGGGCTTATTCCACAAATGGGAAACCTAGATCTGTTCTTGAAGAGATAACCATCTCTCTCTTGATTTGATGGTTTCATTTTAGAACCACAACCTTAAAAACAAAGGGTTGGGGTTTGGGTTTTTTTGGTGGTGGTTCTTTAAGTGGCATGGATAGTGTTAATAGCTACCTCACATTCCTCTGATTGCAACAAGATCTGTACTAAGAATTACTTGTTACCCAGTAGGCACCTATGTCAACAACACACAGTATTACAAAATTTCCTCTCTTTTCTGTTTTAACTCATGAGCAACAATTCTCAAAGCATTTCTAGGCAGTTACTGACCTTCCAGATGTGAAAATAGTATTGCAACCTGTCTGCCAGTGGAAAAATAGGAAAATATGTTTATTTCAAGTTAGTTACAACTATGCTACCATCCCTTATAATAAAAGGACATTGGTAGGATGGCATCTAGGGCAATATAATAAACAATGAAGAGGCTGAAAGGAGGAAATAACTCTTGAGACCATACAAGGATTCTGCATCTCCTAGCTCAGAAGACAAGAACCTGTATGAGTTGGATCATTCAGACCTACAGCCAACCCCAAGCTTACTAGAAACCTAACAAGGGATCGATAGGGACAATTTCCAAAGCAGAGATGGTTTTCAGTTTCAATTTACAACTGTAAGGTTAATTAACATTTGAAGGAAGAAAAAAAATGTATAAGACTACATACTTCATCATAAATGCTCCCGTTGATATCTGCTCCATAGATGGGTGCAACAAAGGTTAAGTTCTTCCAGTATTTACGTTCCAGATCCTCATAGTCTAGGTATCTTGGAGTGCAATATCTGCAAAGGGAAAATAAAATTACAGGAAAAACTTCAGAGGATCTACATTAATAATGCAATGAGTGAAGGAACAATTTTTAATCTGCATGTTTTCCAATAGCTACCTTCATGATATATGATAATTATGCATAATTGATTTTGAGAGACTGAGGACTTATAGACAAGTATCTCCATTTCAAATATGTCCTTTCACATATTTAGCAGACCTGAATTCTTATTCTACTAGTAATGATTTAGTTTTCATTTGATAGCTAAGTTGTTGAAGTCTTAGCATTTGTTCTCATCTCAAGAGGTGGTGGGAATTTCTGCTGGTTGTTTTCAAGCTTAGATACCTATTTCTCTCATTAAGAGGAAGACCAAGGAAAGTGTAAGAAGTTCACTGAATGCATAGGGCAACCTACCAATGGATGCTGCAGAGAAGGCTGCAATACTGAATGCTTTTTTTTTTTTCCACTTCAGCCTTCACAAACAAGTTCAGGTAGTAGGCAACTAGCACAGTGGGAAAGGAATAGGGAAGCAGGCAGGATTGGAGAATAGATGATCACCGGCCTAAGGCAAGGCAAGAACAGGTTAGCAATTAGAAATGTTGACTGTTTTCAAGTCAGCAGGGCCCAATTAAATGAATCCTAGAGTACTCAAGGAATTGGCTGAGGTAACTGTAAAGTTGTTCTCTTGTAGAATTTGTGGAGTTGAGGTAAGGTGATGGATGCCTGTGAAAGGGCAAATATAGTGTCCATCTTTAAGAAAGATGAAGGAAAATCCAGGGAATTATGACTAATCCACCTGACCTATGACTATACTTCTATGCATCTAGAGAAAAAAAAAAGTGATCAGCAACAGCCAACAGATTCATCAAAATCAAATCAAGCTTGGCCAACCTGACTTCCCTTTATGACAAGGTAATAGGTTTCATGAATGGGGAGCAATCAGGGGCTGTGATAAACCTTGACTTTAGCAAGACTTTCAACACTGTTGCTCATGATATTTTCGTTAGTAAACTGAGGAAATACGGTCTAGAGAAATACTGTAAAAATGGATACAAAACTGGATGGATCATCATGTTCAAAGAGTAGTCATCATTGGCTTGATGTCTAGTTGGGAGAAGATATTAAGTGGGGTTCCCCAGGGGTCTGTCCCGAGTCTGGCACTGTTCAAGAGTGTCATTAATAATCTGGAATAGGCGAGTGCACAATTAAAAAATTTGCATATGAAGACTAACTGGATGGAGCTGCAGATACTCTGGAACCTAGGACTGGGATTCAGAATGATCCTACTAAATTGGAAATCTGGTCTGAAATCAAATCAAATGAAATTCAAAATGGGTAACTACAAAGGCCTACACTTAGGACAAAACAATAAAATACACACATGGAAAGTTGGGAAATAACTGCCTAGGCTTTAATACTGCAAAAAAGGACACAGGAGTTGCAGTGGAGCATAAGCTGAACAGGAGTCAACAGCGTGCTCTTCTTGCAAAACAAACCAATACCATATTGAATTGTATTAATAGGATCACTGCCTGCATGTAAAAGGAAAGTGATTCTTCTGCTTTATTCAGCACTTGTGAGGCCTTGCTTGGAATACCATATCTAGTTTTGGGCATCTAGTCTTGCATCCAATTCAGTAAAGAGCAACCAAAATTTCATAGATTTCATAGACATTAGGGCTGGAAGGGACCTCGGAAGATCATAGAGTCCAGCCCCCTGCCCGAAGGGCAGGAAGTCAGCTGGGGTCATAGGATCCCAGCAAGATAAGCATCCAATTTGCTCTTGAAGGTGTTCAATGTAGGTGCTTGAACCACCTCCGATGGCAGGCTGTTCCAGACCTTGGGGGCTCGGACAGTAAAGAAATTCTTCCTTATGTCCAGCCTGAAACGGTCTCGCAGTAGTTTATGACTGTTCGACCTCGTCATCCCTTGGGGCGCTCTGGTGAACAAACGTTCCCCCAGATCCTGGTGGTCACCCCTGATAAACTTATAGGTGGCCATCAGATCACCCCTGAGCCTGCGCTTTTCCAGGCTAAAGAGCCCCATGGCTCTCAGCCTGTCGTCGTAAGGTCTGTTTTCCTGACCTCTGATCATGCGCGTGGCTCTTCTCTGGACTCTCTCAAGCTTCTCCACATCCTTTTTGAATTGTGAGGCCCAAAACTGGACACAGTACTCCAGCTGCAGCTTCACCAAGGCCAAGTACAAGGGGACAATGATGTCCCAGGATTTGCTTGAGAAGATCTATGGATGCAAGTCAGTGTTTTGGTCACTTTACTAGCCGCAGCATCGCATTGCAGGCTCGTGTTCATCTTGTGGTCGATGATGACCCCCAAGTCTCTTTCCTCCATAGTGCTAGCCAGTGTAGCACTGCCAAGCCTATAAGGATGCTACAGGTTTTTCTTCCCAAGG